CCCTGAAGCCTTTGCAGGTTGCTCTGTGGGGTTCCAGATGACGTTACTTGATGCCTGGATCATGGCGGAGGGCCCAGTGCCTACTTGGTCAATATTTATGTGTCCTAGACCTAGAGACGCCCCTGGACTTGTCACTGCCCCAGCCCTACTCCCGCCTTCCGCACCGCCCGCCCCACTGGCCAGTCCCCCGCCCACACACCAAAGACTGCCTCATCTGGCACTGGTTATCTTGCTGCTGCCGCCGCTGCTGCTGAACTCAGCTGCTGCCTCGTCTCAAGGACCCCAGCAACTCTTCCCCCCCTGGCCATGCTGCCTGCTGCCACAGCCTCACTCTTGGGGCTCTTCCTCACTGCCTGGGCCCTGCTGCCTTTCACCCAGGGCCAGACCCCCAACTACACCAGGTAGGCCTCTTGACATCTGCCAGCTAGCTCGAGTGAGCTTTACAACCCTGATTTTCCGAGGGGTTACGCCTGTGATCTTGTGGGTTCTTTTGCAAACACACCATCCCCTAGATTTCCCACTTCCCCCACGCTGCTCAGGCCCCTGAGTCCTCCCCCTTTGCTGAAAGACCATGGTCTCCTCAGGTCACTACTTCCCCCATTCCTCCACCCTTCATCCTCTGCCTTCTTAAGTCTTCCCACCCACCCAACCCAATGGACCCCCATGGGACCTGAGAGAGTCAAGGCCCTGACCTGCCTGGTGGCTGGACATCTGGACTCCAGGAAGGAATTAGAGATGGTGGGGGAGGGGCGAGTCAGATAATTGAGCAGTTAGTAGGAGCAGGGCAAAGGTGGGGACTCAGGGTGTCTGGTCCCCAGTCCAATTTGAGGGCCATGGCTGCTGTTGCTCCCCTCCTCTTTCTGCCCCCTCCCCCACCGCCTCGTGGCTCTGTCCACATCTGGAAGTAGTTAGGCGGCTCTTGTCCATGATTGCCAGGCGAGGGGGAGGAGGGGGGACAAGGAGGATTCCAGGAATTCCTGTTGGGGTGGGGGTGGAGACTTGGGGGGGCAGTTTGAAGGGATGGTGAAGTTCTGGCCCCATTTTTTCCTTTTCTGTTGGTCTTTCCCACCCTAGACCCATCCTGGCTGCCCAAGGCTGCCCCAGTGCCGTAGGTCTTTCTCCCTCATCCCCAAACCCCGTCTTCCCTCCCTCAGTGCCCCCCATCTCTTCACTACTCACCCCCTCCTGACTGACCCTTTTCTGTTCTCCAGACCTGTGTTCCTGTGTGGAGGGGATGTGACTGGGGAATCAGGTTACGTGGCAAGTGAGGGTTTCCCCAACCATTACCCCCCCAACAAGGAGTGCACCTGGACAATAACGGTGAGAAGGTCCCTGCGGTCACTACTCCCTCATCAAAGTCTTCTAGGCAGAGAGAGGCCTGACTGCTAAGGGAGTCCCAGCCCCCAGCACCACCACCTCAACCTGAAAAAGTCCAGGCCCTGCCCTCTGGTCACTGAGGGCATCAGTCCCAATAAGTGCTCTAACACCTTAACTCATCGCCCTTCACCCCAGTCCTGATTCTCCCAGCTTCTTTCCTGTCCCCTCTAATCTCTCCAAAGACCTCAGGTCTTGTCCCTTGTGCAAGCCGCAAGTAAGCAGGCCTGCAGAGCCCGGACCTGCAGTCCTGCAGGGGGTCTCTCCCTGTTCTGCCCCTTCTGTAAGAGAGCTTGGTGAAGGGGAGATGCCCTCTGCCTTGGCTGTGCCTGGCCTGACTTTGTGGGTCCCCCCCTCACCTCCCGCTGTCAGGTCCTGGAAGGCCAGACTGTGTCCCTCTCCTTCCGAGTCTTTGACCTGGAGCAGCACCCCGCCTGCCGTTATGATGCGCTGGAGGTCTTTGCTGGGTCAGGAACCTCAGGCCAAAGGCTGGGACGCTTCTGTGGGACCTTCCGGCCCGCACCCTTAGTCGCCCCTGGCAACCAGGTGACCCTGAAGATGACAGCAGACGAGGGCACGGGAGGAAGAGGCTTTCTGCTCTGGTACAGCGGACGGGCCACCTCAGGCACTGGTGAGCTCCCCCTCCCACCTCCGCCTTCTCCTCTCCCGGCCCTGCCCCCGGCACAGGTCCCGCCCCCCAGCCCTAACACTAACCCCCAGACCAACCTCCTCGCCCCAAAGCCTAGGGCCCCCATTACCTCCCTTGCCCTTTTTTCCTCACTAACTGCCCCTTCAGTCCCTCCTCCTCGTCTTCTCTTCCCCCTCCCGTTCCCACCCACTCCCCTCTTCCAGGCCCCCCCCCAGGCGCAAGGCGGAAATGGGTCACCGACCCACGGGTGGAATGGGCGGCCTGGGGTTACTGGGACGGTGAGTAACTGCCCGCCCCCGTCCGCAATCGGGTTCCCTATGACGGGCGTGAGGGGGCACCTCAGGGCTGGGGACTAGGTTCCCCCCGACCTGGAGCCCCCTTCACCTAGCCCTGGGCACCCGATTGCGGTCCCATCGCCTCCTCCTGGCAGCAGAACTCTCCCTTGAAATGTTTCAGGCAGGGACTTCCCCAAAGGGGCCATGGGGGCCGTGCCCCAAGTCGAGCACACACTTGCAGCATGGGGGCTCTCCAGCCTGCAAAGGGGACTCTTCTGCCAGGCCAGGGAGATGGGATCTCCCAGGGGAGGAGGCGCGGTGCGGCTGCGGGTTGGGAAGGGGTAGGAAGGGAACGCTGTTTAGCCCATTCCTTCTTCCACCTGGCTGGGCGCCCGGTTCAAGGCTTCTCTGAGCCGCGCCCCTCCAGCCCCCTCTGTGCTAACCTACCTCCTCTTTCCTCCCCCTCCTGAGAACATCTGAGCTTCAAGCTGGGCCTCCCAGCCTAGAGCTGTCCTGGAGCTGACTGAGGGTCTCCACTGGCCTCCACCCCCACTCCTCTTTCCCCTCCCTAGAGCACCAATTTTGTGGGGGGCGGCTGGAGAAGGCCCAGGGAACCCTGACCACGCCCAACTGGCCAGAGTCTGATTACCCCCCTGGCATCAGCTGTTCCTGGCACATCATCGCGCCCCAGGACCAGGTACAGACCCCCTGCCCAGGCTGCCCTCAGGAACCCAGGCAGCCTTCTCCAGTCGTGCAGTCAGCAAAGATTTATTGAACATCTACTATGTCCCCAGCACTGAGGTTGTGCTGGTAGGGACCAAAAACAGACCCAGATCTTGTTTGCATGCAAAAAAAAAAAGTAAAATTACAACTGAGATGAGTCTTATGGGAGTAAGGTACATGCTGCTGATATGAACTATGTGGTAGTGATGGGAAGTAATGTCTGTCTTTTAAGTTTAAGCTGGGGGTTGGCTACAGCATCTCATGAATAATGTGTATGATCATCTGAGTTGTGGTGTAGATGCATTAAGGAAAAGGTCTAGAGATTGTCAGAGGTGAGAGAGGAAGCATGACATCAGGAGGAGGAAGTGAGAGTTGCAAGGCCCTGGGTCCCACTGTGCAGCCTCTGCCTTACCTGCTGCCAGGTGATTAAGCTGACCTTCGGGAAGTTTGACCTGGAGCCTGACAGCTACTGCCGCTATGACTCAGTGAGCGTGTTCAATGGAGCAGTGAGTGATGACGCCAAGAGGCTGGGAAAGTTCTGCGGTGACACAGCTCCAGGGTGAGAAAGTGGGCTTGGGTGGGCAATAGCTCTTGCTCTGGTGAGAGTTAAGAGACCAACTGCTTTGGCCTTTTTTTTTTTTTTTTTTTTTTTTAATTTTACCAGAGAGCATATGCGCTCTGGAGAGAGAGAGTGAAAGAGAGAGAGAGAGAGAGAGAGAGGAAGCCTCCCCCCATGGGCAATGGTCATACTGCAATCCCTTCTTCATTTCTCCTGTTGGGATTTTGGGCATGCATATATAGATAACCCTGAGTGGTTTTTCTTTTTTTTAAAAGAATTATTCATTTACTTTTATTTATTATTTAACTTGACTAGCAAGAGACAACAAGGGAAAGTGAGAAAGCAAGCCACTAGGTCCAGGACTCGAACCACAGTCAACTATGTGGGAGTCCAGCACCCTAAACACCACATCCCCCACAATTCTTTCTTTCTTTTTCTTTAGAGAGATTTTTACTATAGGGCATGTGCGCTTGCTGGAGAGACAGAAAGCAAGAAATCATCCCCCAGGAGATGGCCATGCTGCAGTCTCTTCTCCTCCATTCTCCTCTTTGGAGTTGGGGCGCACACGCCAGGATGAGTTTTAAGCCGCCCAGTACAGGACTCATCCTGTAGTTGACCATGTGGGAGCCCAACGATGTAACCATTATGCCATCTGCTAGTCCAACCTGAGTGTTTTTCAAGCCACCTGTTGGGGACTCGATCCGCTCAGTCAGCCATGTGGGATCAGCTGCCTTTATTACCACACCACAGGCTGGCCTGCCGCTGGGGTTTTGAGTGGTAGAGCTCAGCTGGGAGACTGGTAGATTTGAGCCCATAGGTTCCAAACAGGTAGTCAGAGTAGCTAAAGAAGAGGTTTGGAGGGGTAGCAGATGGTGTGGTGGTTAAGGTGCTGGATTCCCACATGGCCAACCCTGGTTTCAGTCCCAGACCCAGAGGCTCAAAACACTCAGGCATGTGTGTGTGCCCCAAATCCAGAGAGAATGGAGGAGAAGGGATCACAGCATGACCATCCCCCTTGGGGGGTGATTTCTTGCTTTCTCTCTCTCTCTTTCTCTGGTGAGTACATGTGCCCTATAGCACAAAAGAAAAAAAAAAAAAAAAAAAAAAAAAAAAAAAAAAAAAAAACTCTCTTAAAACACACACACACACATATATGTTTTAAAAAATAAAAAGGAGGCTTGGAGTCTGATTCTGGGTCCCTGATCCAGAGGCTAGTGGGGCTCTGTTAAGTTGTGGGGCTAGTGCAGCCCCTGACAGAGGGGCTGAGGTTAAAAGGTCACCAGACTGGGGAGGGAGCCAGGTACACAGACTGTCCAGATACCTCCCCTAATATCTTACTGCCCTTCAGTCCTATCTCCTCTGAAGGAAATGAGCTCCTGGTTCAGTTTGTCTCAGATCTCAGCGTCACTGCCGATGGCTTCTCAGCCTCCTATAAGACCCTGCCACGGGGCACTGCCAAAGAAGGACCAAGCTCAGGGGAAGACACTCTGCCAGGTCCTCCGCTTCTTGTCCCCAGCTCTAAGCCCAAAGTCAAGCCTCCCACCAAGACACAACTTCCACCTATGGAGAAACCAGAGGCTTCCCCTGAGACTGAGGCAACCCCTGTGGGCCCTGGTGAGTGTGGGAAAGAAATAAAAGGGGGCACAGGGGTGGGCAGGTGGTGTGGTGGTTAAGGCACTGGTCTCCCACATGGCTAACCATGGTTTGAGTCCTGGTCCTGGTGGCTTGCTTTCTCACTTTCCCTTTCTCTCTGGTTAAATTTGAAAAAGGTGATTATAGAGGGTGGCCAATATGAGCAAACACAATGGTGGCTGTGTTCAGCCATGCGGCTCATGGTAGTGATAATAAAATAATTCTTTTTTAAAAAGGGAGGAGCATAGACTAAAAGAAGCTGTTTCAAAAAGTTCTTTTTAGGCTAGTCAGTGGTGTAGTGGTTAAAGTAGCCAGGTCCCACATGGTCAACTGCACAGCTGAGTCCCAGACCAGGTGGCTCAAGAAACATGGCAGGCACATAGGAACACGTGCTCAAAATCCCAAGAGGGGACCAACAGTTAGCATAATGGCTATGTTGCTGAACTCCCATGCAGTTGACTGCAATTTGAGTCCCGGACCTAGTGGCTTAAACTCATACCGGGCATGTGTGCGTGTGTGCCCAAGATCCCAAGAGGAGAATGGAGGAGAAGGGATTGTGGCGTGGCCATATCCCTGGGGGGTGATTTCTTGCTTTCTGTCTCTCTGTCTCTCTCTGTTTTTCTGGCAAGCGCACGCACCCTATAGCAAACACCTCTCCAAAAAAAAAAAAAAAAAAAAAATCCCAAGAGGGAAGTGGAGGAAAAGGAATTGTAGCATAGCCATCCCCCTTGGGGGATGCTTTCTCAGTTTCCTTCTCTCTTTTTCCTTCTCCCTCTCTCCTTGCTTTTCTCCAGTGAGCACACGCACCCTATAGCAAATTAAAACAAACAATAACTTCTTTGGCTCATTGATTCATTCATACAACACTCCCTGATCCTTCTTGTGTGCCATTGGCTGGTACTGGGTGCAGGGATCCAAGGCTGGATAGTAGAGCTGTTACTAGGAAAGGAGTCCATCCCACCTGTTGGGTAGATCACCCTCCACAAACAGCACCTGTCCCCCTCCTAGATACATCCAGTGTCCAATGCCCAAAGCAGTGCCGGAGGACCGGCTCCTTGCAGAGCAACTTCTGTGCCAACAACCTAGGTAAGAAGCCACACCAACTCCCCTGCTATTCCATCTTCTCTAACTTTCCTCCCACCTTTCTGGTCCTAGTCCAATCCTGACCCCCATCTCCTCATCTTTTACCCCCATTTTCCTACAGTGGTGACTGCAACAGTGAAGTCAATGGTTCGGGGCCCAGGTGAGGGCCTCACTGTCACTGTTACCCTCATTGGTGCTTACAAAACTGGAGGACTAGACCTGCCCTCTCCACCTACTGGCACTCCCTTGAAGTTTTATGTGCCCTGCAAGCAGTGTCCCCCCATGAAGAAAGGTAACAGATGAGGGGAAAGAGGGGGGAGTCACACTGAAATTTTAGAAATGTGGAATCTAAACAGATGCATTGATAAGGTCTCGACAACATGAGCTCTTGATCCCTTCCTCCCTCCCCCAGGAACCAGTTATCTGCTGATGGGCCAAGTGGAAGAGAACAGAGGTCCCATCCTTCCTCCAGAGAGCTTCGTGGTTCTTTTCCGGCCCAACCAGGACCAGATCCTCACCAGCCTAAGCAAGAGGAAGTGCCCCTCCCAACCTGTGAGGGCTGCTGAGTCCCAGGCCTGAGACCAGGCCAACTCCAGTCCCTTGCCCTTGGGCCCCCTTTCTTATCCAAATAAACGTGTTTTAACTGAGGAAGGGGTCAGATCACCACTTCTATGGTTTAGGGAACTATCTTGGGAATTGATTTTTATTCATTTGATCAACAGATGTTTACTGTACAGAATATTTTTTAAATATAAATCAGATCTTGTCATTCCTTTGCTCAAAACTCTCCCACAATTGGCTCAGCCATGGTGGCACATGCTGCTAAGATGCTATGTTCTGCAGGTTGGAACCAACCATGGGAGATCTGGGCTTAAGTCCAACCTAAAGGCCAGGCATGGTGGTGTGTGCCTGTAGTCCTGGCAATTTGTTGAGACTGAGTTATATTGAGAACTTGAGACTAACCTGGACAACATAATGAGACCATCTAAAAGAGAGCAGAGTGTGGTGGCACAAACCTGTAGTCCCAGCTGGGAGGCTGAGACAGGAGGATTACTATGCCATTAGGCCCTGTCTTCAAAGTGAAAAACAAAAACCTTCTGTACTTTGGTTTCCCATCTGTTGCAATAAAATCTGAACTCTTCTTACTGGTTCTAAGGCCCTAGGTAATCTGCATCTTCCCTCTCACCACCCCATCTCCTCACCTCTCACTACTGTCCCTTGAACAGCTGCTCCAGGCACACTGGTTGTCGCCCTGTTCTTTGCTCATTGCTGGCACACTTCTGCTTCAGACCTGTGCTGTTCTCACCATCAGGATTCTCTTCCAATATCTCATGGCTCCCTTCCTAAGTCCAATCAGATCTCTGTTCAGAGTTCATCATAGTCACTTGTTTGTTCACTCCAAATAGTGGTCACTGTTTTAAGTGCTGAAAATAACAGGAAAAGTCCCTGGCTTGTGAAGAGGAGCGTACATTCCACTGGAGGAAAGATAAACAATAAACTATGTCAAGTGGCGCTATAAGTGCTGACAAAATAGAAAAGCATGATTAAGGTCAAAAGCATAAGGGTCAGCCTGTGGCCTAAGGGTGAAGGGAGGCAGATCCCATTTGGTGAACAGTGGGATTAGAATCCATGAAAACATGCCAGGTACCTGTGCCCCAAATCCCAACAGAATGGAGAAATGGATGGATTGGGGATGTCTCTGTCTCTGCCCAGTGCACTTGTCCTCTGGCAAACTTAAAGGAGAAAAAAAGGCTAAATAGGATAGTTTAAGGAAGGCTTTCAGGTAAGACCAACTTTTTTTTTTTTTTGTAAGAGGTTTTTGCTATAGGGTGCGTGCGCCCGCCAGAGAGACAGAGAGATAGAGAGATAGAAAGCAAGAAAGCCCCCCCCAGGAGGGATGGCCACACCGCAATCCCTTCTCCTCCATTCTCCTCTCAGGATCTTGGGCGCATGAGTTTAAACCACAGGGTCCAGGACTCGAACCGCTGTCAATTTTGTGGGAGTCCAGCGACATAGCCATTACGCCAACTGCTGGTCTTGACCAACTTTGTTTTTGCTCTGCTGCTAACCGTGTGGCCTAGGCTCAGATTCTTCACCTTGCAAAGTTTAATCAATTGTAAAAGGAATTAAAATTCAATGAGATGGGAGCCGGCAGGTGGCGTAGTGGTTAAGGGTGTTGGACTCCCACAAGGCTGACCGCGGTTGAGTGGTGGACCTGGTAGCTTGTTTTCTCACCACCTCACTCTGTCCCTCTGTGGTCAAATTAAAATAAAGTTAAATAAAATAATCCTTTTCAAAAAATTAGAGGGGATGGGAACCAGCAGTTAGCGTAATGGCTATGTCGCTGGCCTCCCACATAGTCGACCGCGGTTCGTGTCCCGGACCCGGTGGCTTGAAACTCCCGCCGGGCGCGTGTGCGTGCGTGCCCAGGGTCCGGAGAGGAGAATGGAGGAGAAGGGATTGCGGCGTGACCATCCCCCCTGGGGGGTGATTTCTCGCTTTCTGTCTCTATGTCTCTCTCTCTGTCTGTCTGGCGAGCGCACGCGCCCTACAGTGAAAATCTCTCCCCCCCTCCCCCCCAAAAAAAAAAAATTAGAGGTGATGATGTAAGTGGGAGGGTGTTTGGTAAATTTTAGTTCGCTAAGTAGATCTGAGTGATTTCCCAGGCCGGTGCAGGAAGGAAAAGGAGGGAAGCCCTCCCTACTGGGAGGCCCAATAGGGAGGAACCTCCAAGCCAGCACTACTGCGGAAAACATACTTTGGTCGTAGCAGAGGCTTCTAGGAGAGCCTGAAATTGAACTGGAGGAAGATTTCTTGTGGGAGAGCCAGTGATTTGGAGTCTCCACACCGGGAAGAAGGGACAAAGCCCAGGTCGGAGCCCCGCCGCCATCTCTCCAAGTTACTCTTAGGCTCGAGTTCAAACCAGAGACGCCCATAAAATTCTTACGTCACGGGGATCAAGTCAATCTCGGGAGCCAGGATGGGGGCGGCGCTCCATTTGGTGTTTAAGTGAGCACCAATCGGCATGCACTTACAGCGGACCTTGGCCGCCCTGGCCAATGACAGAGACCGTACGGCGGAAGTGCAGAAGGAACCCTCGGGAAGATGGCACCCTTAGTTTGGCCACAAGCTGATTGGCAGATATTTTGACCACCAGGTGAGCATCGTAGCTCGAGCAGCTGTTCGAAGGCGGAAGCCAGACGGGGCCGGGCCGGAGCTCCGGATGGATCGGAGACACAGATACAGCGCTCTCGGAGAGCGGGAGGTTTGTGATGGGCGCGCCCGGGAGAGGCGGCTGCGGCCGGCGGACCCCTGAGGGGGAGGGGGACGGGAAGCCCAGAGCTCCCGGAAGGGGCGGGGCCTGTGGCCGGGCGGGCCATACGGAGACGGCGAGCCAGGCCTGAGGAAAAAGCCTGGGCTGGGAGCCGCGAGGGGCAGGGTTTGGTGGGTGGGCGTGGTCACCGAGGCGGGGCGGGGCCTAAAGAGACTTGGGGCAAAGCTGGGAGCAAGCGAAGGGGGTTGGTGGAACTTGTGCCTGGCCGGAGCCGCGTCTAGCGGGGCGGCGGCGGCATCAGTGTGGGCCCTGTCCCACCATCTCATCTTTGTCCCCTTTCGCCCCTCGCGCCTTCCAGTCCTAGACTCCAGGCCCTGTTCGCTGAGCTCTATCTTCGGATGTCCGTCGGCCAAGAGCCTGCATGCGCCGTGGGGCGCCCCAGGACCAGGAGCTGGTGGGTCCGGGGGCCCCTGGGCGGGGGTCCCGAGGCGCCACCCCTCTGTCGGGACCCGTTGTCCCGGTCCTCGTCTTTCCCCCGGATCTAGTGTTCAGGGCGGACCAACGGAGTGGACCCCGACAGCTGCTGACCCTTTATAATCCCACAGGAACTGCGCTTCGCTTCCGAGGTGAAGGGATGGGCACCTCGTACTAAGGATCTGGGGGCTGGTGGCAGGACACTGTGGGCTGTGTGGGCTGGAAATGTCAGATGAATAGGGTCAGATGTCGGCCCTGCCAGACTGGAAGAGTCATGACCAGCCCTGGGATAGAAGGCAGAGGGGACTCTAGTGTCCCACCATGGGCTCCTCTAGGATCTTTGTGTGTCTTTTTCCCCCAGTCCTGTGCACAGCCCCTGCCAAATACACTGTGTTTGATGCCGAAGGATATGTGAAGCCTCAGTCCTGCATTGACATGTGAGTTGGGGAACCTGTTGATGAAAGCCGGGTCGCTGCCACGTGTTTTCTTAGGTCTGAGACCCTATCCTGTTTTTTTTTTTTTTTTTAGAGATTTTTGCTATAGGGCGTGTGCGCTCGCCAGACAGAGAGACAGAGAGACAGAAAGCGAGAAATCACCCCCCAGGGGGGATGGCCACGCCGCAATCCCTTCTCCTCCATTCTCCTCTCGGGATCTTGGGCACACACGCACACGCGCCCAGCGTGAGTTTTAAGCCACCGGGTCTGGGACACAAACCACGGTCGACTACGTGGGAGTCCAGCGACATAGCCATTATGCTAACTGCTGGCCCCAAGAGACCCTATCCTCTTTAATCTGTTTGTCCCACCCTCTGTCCAAGTCCATAAGAGAAAGGCTTCTAGTGGGAGGGGGCCTGGATTTACCCAGATTACTGCCTCTCACTCATTTCCTCTTACCGGGTCTCTCCTACCATTGGGCCAGTGTCATTCGCCACGTGGCCCCCATTCCCAGCCACTATGATGTCCAGGACCGCTTCCGCATTGAGCTGTCTGAAGAGGGAGCTGAAGGCCGAGTGGTGGGACGCAAAGACATCACTTCAGTTCTAAGGGCCCCAGCCTACCCTCTTGAGCTCCAGGGTCAGTCTGACCCAACGCCTCGTCCAGGGCCTCCTGTCTGGACTGCACCACCCACGGCCAGACACTTCCAGGAGAGTGAGTTGGGAGATGGGGATCTTTGAGTTCTGCGAGGAGAGAGACACTAGTATTATCCTAGAGATGAGCTAAATTGGATTTGAAGAAGTCTTTTGCCTTTTGGTGGAAACGTTCCTAGAAGTTAAGATTTTTTATCTGGTAAGAGGGGAAACAGACTTTGCAATTTCCCTGGTTACTGGCTTCTACTTAGAGGAAAAAAGTTCTTTCTTTGGGACCAACAGATAATGTAGTGGTTATGTTGCTGGACTCCCACATAGCCAACAGCAGTTCAAGTCCTGGACCCAGTGCCTTGAAACTCAGGCCAGGTGCTCGTGTGTGCATGCCCAAGATCCCAGGTGGAGAATGGAAGAGACAGGATTGTGGCATGGCTATCTCTGTCTCTCTCCATCGAGCACACACTCCCTAAGGCAAAAACCTTTTTAAAAAAAGTTCTTTCTTCCTTAGCTCTATTACTCAGTGCAGATCAATTGGAAACCTGCATTGTACAGTTATGCTGTACCAAGCTGTGTGCTGGGCACAGGCAACACGGGCAACAGAGAGAGGGCCCTGCCTGTCACACAGCTACAAAGAAGATAATGAAGGCAGTGAAGAGGGAAATGAATGAGGTGCCCTAGAAGAGAGGGTTTCTTGTGGCAATGGGGACAGACCTCCAGGGAAGAAAGAACATGTGCAGTGTGCCCTTTGAAGGCAATAAAAAGAAGATCCATCTTCCATGGTCAGCCTCCTCCCTGGAGGACCTTGGGTTGGGGATGAGTTGGGGCTGCAGCTTCTGACAAGCCTTGTTTCCCAGACCCCCACCAACAACTGGCCACCAGCTCCTTCCTCCTCTTCTTGCTGACGGGCATAGTCTCTGTGGCCTTCCTGCTGCTCCCACTCCAGGATGAACTTGGCAGCCAGCTGCCTCAAGTCCTGCACGTCTCTCTGGGACAAAAGTTGGTGGCAGCCTATGTCTTGGGTGAGCACACTAGTAGCTTGAGATCCAGGCCCCAGAGAAGGGTAAGCAGGGGTTCAGGGAGGGCTAACAGAGCCTCAGGGCTGCTCAGAGAACCTTGATCTTCCTTTCTCCCCTCTCTAGGCCTTCTCACCATGGTGTTCCTCCGGACCTGAGCTCCCTGATCCACCTCAGCCTACCCCATCCAAGCACGGACTTGAGGCAGTCACTGTGATGCTCAGGCCATGCCTGCCTTGCCTTGGATCCTACTCTTTTATCTCCTTCCTGCCCATTCTTCCCGTCCCCCCCAAAATACCCAGGGATTTGTACTCATTTTCCAAGTTGAAGAAGATACATTTTTAAAATAAAAATGAGAAATGTAAGGTACTAGCCTCTCTCTTCCCTCTTCTTTGTTATACCCAGATCATCTTCTAGTTCCTCTCACTTCCATTCTCAGGGGCCCAGCACCTGGAACAATGAAGAGACCCAGTGAGGATTTGGAAGACTCAGTGCTGTATCCAGAAAACTGTGTGACCTTGAACAAGTCATTTGATTTCTCTGAGTTTCAGTTTCAACCTCTAAAATAAGGGCATTGAGCAAGTTGAGTTATAAGATCCCCTTTAGGCCTAGAATAGGGTCCTATCCCTAAGACAATGTACCTGACTTTAAAAGAAACAAACAGAAATACCACCTAATCCTGGCTGCTGTAGAATTCAACCCTCAGCATGTTGAGGTTACAGAGCCTCTTGTCAGGGTTGCCCACATGCTTATAGTCCCCAGAATCCTTTTCTGCCCTTTTTTTAAATTGTTCATTGATTTCTTCCATGAAAGATATAGACAGACAGACAGGAACCTCCAACAGGATCCTCATGCCACAATCCACCCCAGACCTCAGCCAGCCCAGATCATAGGCATGTTCATGTGCATCTGGTGTACACACAGAGCACCCAGGATGTGAACTCAAACCTTCTCATGTGGGAAGTATTACAGTATTATAGGGTGCCATGTGACCCCTTTTCTACAATTTTTTAAAAGAATTATTTAATTTGTTGTTATTATTTAATATGATGAAAGAGAGAAAGGGAAAGTGAGAAAGCAGACCACCAGGTCTGGGACTCAAACTGCAGTTGACCATATGGGAGTCCAGTGCCTTAACCATCACACCACCTGCCAACCCCACCGTTTTTTAGAGAGATTTTTTGCTATAAGGTGTGTGCACATGCCAGAGAGACAGAGAGAGGGACAGAAAGCAGTGAATCACCTCCTAGGAGAATGGCCATACTGCAATTCCTTCTCTTCCATTCTCCTCTTGGGATTTTGGGCATACATGTACATATGCTCAGCATGAATTTTAAGCCCCCAGATCCAGGACTCGAACCATGGTCAGCTATGTGAGTCCAGTGATGTAACCATTATGTCATCTGGTCCTGCTTTTCTGCCTTTTTAACTCTCTTTTTACTTTGTCTCTTTTTCCTTTTTTTAGAGAGATTTTTGCTATAGGGCATGTGCACTCAACAGAGAGACAGAGAGACAGCAAGTAATCACCCCACAGAGAGGATGGCTATGCCACAACCTCTTTCTCTATTCTCCTCTCGGGATTTTGGGCACTCATGAACGTGTGCCTGGTGTGAATTTTAAGCCACCAGGTCCAGGACTTGAATGCAGTTGACTACGTAGGACTCCAGTGATGTAACCATTATACCATCTGCTGGTCCTTTTTTTTCTTTTTCTTTTTTTTTTTTAAGGTTTTTGTCATAGGGCACATGTGCTTGCTAGAGAGAGAGAGAGAGACAAGTAGAAGGGAAGTGAGAAATCACCCCGCACCCTCAGGGGATAGTTATGCCACAATCCTCTCTCTGTTCTCTCAGGATTTTGGACATGGATACACACGTGGCTGGCATGATTTTTTATTTAATTTTTTTGAGAGATTTTTGCTATAGGGAATGTGTGCTCGCCAGAGAAAGACAGAGAGAGAGACAAAGTGAGAAATCACCCCCCAGAGGGGTGACCATGCCCCAATCCCTTCTCCGGCCTCCTCTCAGGATTTTGGGCATGCATGCACATGCACCCAGCATGAGTTTTAAGCTGCTGAGCCTGAGACTTGAATCGTGGTTGACTACGCAGGAGTCCAGCAACGTAACCATTACTTCATCTGCTGGTCCTGATTTTTAAAAAAAATTTTTTGGAGAGGTTTTCGCTATAGGGTACGTGTGCTCGCCAGAAAGAGAGACAGAAAGAAAGAAAGAAATCACCCCCCGGGGGTATGGCCACACCGCAATCCCTTTTCCTCCATTCTCCTCCCCAAGATCTCGGGATCTTGGGCACACACGTACATGTGCCCAGCGTGAGTTTAAGCCGCCATGTCCAGGACTTGAACCGTTGTCAACTACATGGGAGTCCAGCTACATAGCCATTACACTAACTGCTGGTCCCCTGAATATTTTTTTCAAAGTTTTTTTGCTATAGGGCGTGTGAGCTCACTGGGGAGACAAAGCCAGAGAGACAGAAAGAGAGAAATCACAACCGGGAGGTTGGCCATGCCATAACCCTTTTCCTCCATTCTCTTCTTAGGATTTTTTGGCACTCATGTATACATGAGTTTCAAGCCACCAGGTCTGGGACTCAAACCACAGTTGACCACATGGGAGACCAGCACCTCAACCACCATGCCACCTGCTGGCCCCATTATTTTATCTCTTGTTTAAACTTCGACTCCCATGGATCAGGAACACCAAGGTCCCTACATTGTCTGACGTACCCTCACTTTAACTTGGCAGGAGAAATTAAAGGTCAGGGAAAGAACAGAATCCTCAAAAGACAAGCTTCCAGCCACCCATCCTCCTTGAGATACAGGGTGAGCAAGGAGAAAAAGAGAGGGGGAACCAGTGACACTGGGCAGATTGTTGGTGGGGAACAAAAGATCAACAGGATAACATTAAGATACACCTTGTCAGGGACCAACAGATAGTGTAGTGGTTACATAGCTGGACTCCCACATGGCCAGCTATGATTTAAGTCCTAGACCTGGTGGCTTGAGACTCAGGCTGGACACGTGTGTCTGTCTGTCCAAGATCTGGGAAAGAGAATGGAGAAGGGATTGCAGCATGGCCATTCCTCCAGGGGGTGAGTTCTTATTCTCCCTCTCACTGCTTCTCTCTCTCTCTCTCTCTCCCCCTCCCCCCTGGCAAGCGCATGCGCCTTAGGCAAAAAAACCTCTTAAAAAAAGATACACCCTGTCTGTTACACCACTGGGAAGTTATCAGTATCAGTTGTTCCAACTTTACTTTGGGGGCTTTGGGGCCTGTCCCACTGCTCTGAGTCTTGTCCCTTCCATACCCAGCGCTGGCCTTCATGAGGTGTGGCCCAATAGTGTGCAGAGAATGGAACTGTGTGCCCAGGAGTCTGGGGAAGAGTTCCTGCCATAGTCCTTTTGCCACATTATCATTTTGCATCAGACCTTGCAAATTATGTAGCTGTCCCTGGCCCCATGTAGGGAGCAGCTGAATCTGAACTAAATAATAGTGACCTTTAAAGGTGAACAGAGCAGACTCTTGCTTAGGCAGGTGCTGCACAGCTGGCAGAGATGAAAGAAAACTGTTCCAACCAGAGAAGGCCATGTGGGGCTTATTTAGACCAAGCGATGCAAGATGCTCCAAAGCTGCAGCTGATAATAGAAGACACCTGGTTTTACCTTTCGCTTTGCCTTCCCTCGTTGCCCTGTAAAAGAATAAGCCTGGGAATGGCTCAGAGCCGAGGCGGTCTCCATCAGAGATGTCTGGTCTGCCCGTTTCCTGCTCTTCTCTACTTGTGTGTCTGTATCTGTGTGACTGTTCTTTCCAAAATGCACCGTCGCTTCCACTCTGGGCGGAGGGGTCTTCAGACTCAACAGCCCCAGAAGAGGATAGTCATTCTTTACCCCATCTTGATTTTTGGAGAGTAGGTCTTGTTTCCTTAGGCAATTTCCCCGAGTAACAGAATAGCTCAGGTTTTCCAGTGGAGGCAGCATTCCCAAATCCATCCTTTGGGACCCTTCTGCTAAACCCTTCCCTAGGTCTCAAGAAAGGAGTGATGGATGGGAACCGGCAGTTAGCATAATGGCTATGTTGCTGGACTTCCACGTAGTCGACCGCGGTTCACATCCCGGACCTGGTGGCTTAAAACTCACGCCGGGCGCGTGTGTGTGCCTGCCCAGGATCCCGAGAGGAGAATGGAGGAGAAGGGATTGCGGCGTGACCATCCCCCCTGGGGGGTGATTTCTCGCTTTCTGTCTCTATGTCTCTCTCTGTCTGGCGAGCACACGCGCCCTATAGTGAAAACCTCTCAAAAAAAAAAACAGGAGTGATGGACTGGCAGATCAGTATGAGGAAGAAGCACAAAGGTGCTTGTGAACAACAGATGTCACCAGGTGGTTTATTGATGTCCAGACCCCATGCCCCTCTCACCATAGACCACCTGTTGGCCTAAAGGCTATGGTGCCAGAGACCTCTCCCACCGAGAGCTGGCCAGGTCCTAGTGCCTAGCAAACCTTCGAGTGGTCTCTAGGTATGGATGACTCTGCCCCTGAAGGGGGAAGGGGCTGTGATTGATGAAGGAATGCTGCAGATTAACCGACAGTATGACCGTCACGTGGAAGAACTGCTCACCTACACTGCAGGGCCAGTGGGAGTCTGGACCCATGGAGAGACGGGTCAGCAATGAGAGGTATAGTCCTCTCCATCACCAGCATCGCTCAAGTAGGGAAACAGGAGCACCAAGGCATACGGAAGCCCTGAGTAGGGGAACCTCAGAAGTTGTTATCAATGTTCCAGACGTCTCCACTAAGTGCGTTGGCTGCCCCCTGCAGTGTCCAGGTGACCAGGGCCAGTTGGCGCCGGAATCGGCTCTCCTGAAAGCCCAGGCCCGATGCCACCCTAGAGGAAGAAGCCCCAGGGGACCCGGAGCTGCCTGTGCGTAGTAGCCGCAGGTGGTCGAGTAGGGCACCCAGCGTGTGGTCTCCACGGCCCAGGAAGATGTGGCGGAAGGGGGAGTCGGCTGGAGACACATACTGAGACAAGAAGTAGAACTCCACCTGCACCAAGAGGGAGACTAGGTCGGAGTGGAGCCTCTGCTCTAGGAGCAAAGGCTCGAGAGACCCCTCCCTCCAGCCTGCAGTTCCTAACCCACCTGGGAACCTAGTACCTGCTTGATAAATACCGCTGAGCAGCTTCCTTAAGTCCCACCTCCCTCTGCATGTCCAATCAGGAATAGCTACCCTGTGATGTCACCAGTAGGCAGGTAGGAAGAGATGTCCAGTCGTGTTTTGGATTCTATCCCCTTCTAGTTTTGGAGCTCCAAGCCTGTAGGGAGGTCTCGACAGTCTTTCTTCCTCACCAGTCATGTCTCTGCCCAAAGCCTCAAAGAACAATCTATTGCTGTTCCTCTTTGTTTTTAATGCCAGAGGGAATATATGCAAGCAAGAGAAGAGAAAAAGAGAAGAGAAGAAGGGAGGGAAAGATTTTTCCCCATTTGGTCTGGTCATGTAATGATCCTTTTTTCTCCAATTCATCCTGTCAGGATCTTGGGTGCACTTTCTTCAAGCAGCTGGGGTTAGGACTTGAACCCTGGTCTACCACATGGGATATGGCTTCCTCTATGCAACCTTAATCTCTCAGCTATGAGCAGGCCCCTCTTTCTCTTCTTAATACCAATGTCCCCACACCTCTGTCATTCTGCCCCACCTCCAGTGTCCACAGTTCAGAGTCAAAGGCCAAAGGGACAGTGCTGTCCTAATGAAACAAACACCTGATTCTCTGTTATGTTCCCTCTTTCCTGAGATGGCCTCGTTTCTGGCCTAGTTCTCCTACCTTACCCCCAGCCTCTCTGATTCCTTTTGCTTCCACCTGTGGGTGGTCTCAAAATTGACTTCCCTCTGTCCTGCTCTTTACTACAGTCTCTTTATTGCAGTATCTTAGGACCACCTAGGGAAGATTTTCAAATTACTATTGCCTGGGTGCCATCCCAGCAAACAGAATCTCTAGCGCAGTCTCAGTCACATCTTTTAAGGCCTCCACAGCTTACGTCAGGCTCATCTGTGCCCCCTGGCTTCAACCAGGATCTTTGCACAGACAGCCGCCACATCTCCTTGCCAAGTCATCCACTGGGATCCTGCACTCCAGGCTCTGGACTTCTCCACTCGATTAGAGGGCACTTGGACATAGCCTGGCACACGTGTCAACACCAACCTCTTTCCAACCGGAGCCTTGCCCCCACATGCCCTCATGAGCAACATGGTCTTCCCAGGTGCCAAGCTCTCCACCCCGCAGAGGAATGACAATGTGGTGAGCAGAGGCTTTAGAGTTACACTGCCTGGGCTCGAGTTTCAGCTCCACCACTCACTATGTGATCTCTGGGTAAGTTCTGTAGCCTGTGAACCTCAGTTTCTGCTTACCTGTTTCAGCAGGGTTTGGAAAGGTCCCATGCAGAAAATGAAGTAAAGCCCTCATGGTAGCCTGCTATAAATGGCAGCAGCTGCTGTTATTTCTCCCTCTTCCCTCTACACCTAATCTGTCCATTTGTCCTTCCAAGGGCCTCTCACCAGTCCAGTCACCACCTATGGTGCCACCTGCTACTTTGCTGCCATTTGCTGTCAATTGCTACTCTCACCCAGAGCTCACGTTCATGAACTTCCTTTCCTCTTCAGGCCATTTACACTCTGGTCAAAATCCTTCCCAAAGACTTCACTTTGCCCACATCACCCCCTGCTCAAAAATGTTTCCAATTTATTTAATGAGCAGATCCTAAAAAATCTTCACTCCTTATGCTGGCATTCAGGGCTCCTCACAGTGGATGGCTAGCCCACATTTGGTGGTCTTCTCCCCTTTGCCTCTCCACAGGGCCTCTGTTCTGTTCTGCTGGTCTCTACTTCCAAGGAAAGTCAGGCCTATTTCACTGCCACACCCTTCCTGGGTCCCTCCACCCTGTAATGTCCTCTTTTTCTTTACACCAACCTAAGTTCTGTCTATTCTTCAAGATCCAAGTTACAGTCTAAGGCACAGGTCAGCAAAATTTTCCTGCAAAAAGATAGCAACTATTGTAGGCCCTACTGGTTCTATTGCAACTACTCACCATTGCTTCTGAAGCACAAAAGCAGCCATAAACAATATGAAAACTGATGAGCATGGCTGTGTTGTAATAAAACTTTATTTACAAAAACAGACAACAGGCTGAATTTAGCCCTCTGGCTGTAGTTTACCAATCCCTGGTCTAGAGCCACAGGCTTCCCTAGGTCTGGCCCACTCCTATCTCGAGCTCTAAAATCCTGAGACTATTCTTCTCCATACCTGAGTCTGAGTCATACACCTCACACACAGGTGCCCTTTATCCCTAGAGGAAGAAGAGGTGTGTGTGTGTGTGTGGGGGGGGGATCTTTTTGTGTTCTTGGAGTCTGATTAAACCAAGATCTGTGAATGAGAATGAACGCAGTTCAATCTGTCTCACCCCAGGGTCACATGTATCTCAGTGGCGGGGACAAAGGGAAGGAGAGATCAGAAGGAGAAGAAAGAGCCAGACTGGTTGCCTCATGATTAGGAGAGCCAGATTCCACGTGGCCAATCATGTGGACAAAATCCCCACTTAAAAAACATGCTGGGCACATTGGGCATGTGTGCACGCCCACGTGCGTGTGTGTGTGCCCCAAATCCTGACAGTATGAAGAAATGGAGAAGGAACTGTGGCATGAGCATGCCTCATTGGGAAGTACTTTCTCCTTCTGTCTCTCTGTCTTCCTCTCTGGCATACACACACACTCTGCTAAAAAACAAATTTTAAGAGGTTTTTGCCTGAGGGCACATGTGCTTGCTGGACAGAGAGAGAGACAATGAGAGGTAAAGTGAGAAATCACCCCCTAGAGGGGATGGCCAACTGCAATCCCATCTCCATTCTCCTCCCAGGATCTTGGGCATGCACGCACACGCGCCTGGCGTGATTTTCAAGCCACCAGGTCCGGGACTATGAACCATGATCTACCAAGGTGGGAGTCTAGCAACATAGCCACTATGCCATCTGCTGGCCTCTCTGAAATTTAAAAAAAAAAAAAAAAAGGAGATTAAGGAGGAAAAGAGAATCAGAGACCAAGAGAAAGAAGTCAGGGAGAAGAAGCAAGATGGGCAAGTTTGTAAACAGAAGAAAGAATGAGTGATGCCAAGGGAGAAGGGCAAGGCACAAGCAGGAAAAGGCAAGGAAGAAAGTGAACATGGTCCTCCAAAGAGCAGACATGTTCTCTGAAAACTGCGTGTGCACCCCAGTGCGTGGCTCCGCGTGTACGCGAAGGGTTCTCTGCTCACCCCACATTCACTGAAGAC